AAGCCACAAAAAAATCTGAATAATAAAGAATAATATAAGCAGCACTTAGAAAAGAGAACAAAACCATAAAGACATCAATCAAAACACATAGAATCATCAATTACTATGCTTAATAAGAACCCTAGACTCCTCCTTCATTCATGCCAAAAAAAATCATGAGTACATGGCAACACTATGCATATGGATAGACAAGCAAAGCTAATACCAATATATGTCTAAAAGAATTTGAAGCAAAGCGTTTCGGGATCTAAGACACATCAAATCACAAAGGTTTAATCAAACACAAGGATTATAAAATGGAGAATCAAAAGTATTTATGAGAAATAAAGTCCATCAAATGAGCAAATATCAAATTCCAATCTCCTGTTCTGTGACTAAACTTGCTTAATAACAAAGAAAAAATCCAACCAGAACAAGCCAAGAATATAGAATAAACACATACAAAATGCATACAGAGGTCACCACTTTTAGTTCTTTTTTTTTTTTTTTTTTAAATGCTAACTTTATCAAGCTTTCTACAAGACCATGTAGCATGTGTTAAATCAATGTGCTCAAGTCAGCTGACTTTAAGACAATGGGTGTTAAAGCACCCCTAGGATCTACTAATCCGAGTCATGTAGGCTACAAAGAAGAACAATGTGTGTACAAGATCAAAGCTTTTTGACGTGAACCTCGACGTTGGTTAGACAAGAGGCCCGGTTACTTCGCAACGATAAAGCACTTATTTTACTTTACTTTTAATTAAAGAGATGTTATAAATTTGTGAGCTCAGTAGCAAAAAGTACAACGCAAATCTAGTATCAAAACAAGGACAAGGTAAGAATTCATTCAAAATTATTAAGCAAGATTAGAGTGTATGTGCTATATGTGAGACCTGAGATTTAATATAAAGAGCATTTAATTGACCTTATAAAAAACAAAGACAGTCGAGAACCATTCACATAAACCCAATATTAATATGCCCAAGGTGATCCAACGCCAAAAATCCAATCTAAGATTAGCAAAAACTTCCAGACGTCAGTAGGATTGATATCACTTATCAATCCCTTCATGTGCTGAACAAAATACTTTGAATTTAATCCAATTTCAAAAACAGAGAAGAGAATAGCTGGAGTCTTTTGGCATGCATACAAACAATTATTCAAAAGAACAAATACCTAAAGACTTTCTAAGAGTGTCAAATCGAAGATTATCTAAAGGTTTTGCAACAAGACATTTAAGATCCAAATTTTCTAAAGTAGTGGGTTAATGCACAACATTAGTGGAGGCAAACATACAATTATGATTTTTCTTTTTCCTCCACATTGACTTTGTCTTAGTTGACGGCAAACAATGAAAAGAAGATAGTTTGGATAAGCGTTTTATCTCTTTCATAAGATTTGAAATATTATGTTGGATACTTACTTTTTCACCCACGACATGAGAATTTGAACTAACAAATTTGTTTCGAAGTTTATTGCATCTTGGTCTTATGTGGCCACGAGTTCCACAAGAGTGAAAACTTTGAATGAATTTCTTGACTTCATGAGCGGCAGAAGGTTCAATAAGTGAAGAGGATTTGACAAACTTTGTTTTAGACACAGCAGAAGACTTATTACTTGTTTCAAATCCCAAGCCTCATTTGTCACCATCTCTTCTTCCAATGCTAATCATCCTGTCAATTTTTTTGCACCAATGGTTAAAGAAACAATCCTTTCCTTTGAATTTTTAAGTTCAAGTTCAAGGGCTTTTGTTGTCAGAACTTAGAGATGCAATTAGTTTATTCTGATCAGTTAATTTTTCTGCAAAAACATCAATTTTTCGTTCATACCTCCACTTACCTTTTCGGAATCTACATCAGGGGATTGAAACTCGTTTGCAATCCGGCAATTTTTCAGCTTCAGCACGGCAATGAATTGTACAAGCTCTTCACTTTGTTTGCTGAGTTTTTGAGAAGTAGCCAACAAATCATCATATTTGTTCATGATAAACTCAATATTCATATCTTCACAATCATCATCCTTCTTCGTTGGTTCATCTAAGCTTACGGTCGTGATAAGTGCAATGGCCTTCTCATTATTTTCAGAGTCAGAATCACTTTCACTCCATGTAGTACGCAGTACCTTATTCTTCCCATCCTTTTGCTTCTTTAAGGTGTCGGCATATTATTGTCCATAGCCTTCACATTCGAAACATTTGACCTTTTCTCTTAGATTCTTTCGTTCATTTGACCTGCGAGATTTAGACCACCATCAGTATAGTCAACAAACCTATTTTTAGAATTTATACCTTTTGAATCTCAACTCCTTGGATCCTGATTCTTGAGAAAGTTCATGAATCGTCTTGTGAGAATCGTTAATTCCTCATCACTGCAATCTTCATTTAAATGCTCATCATCTTCTTCATTCACAACCTTGAAAGCAACACTTTTGCTCTTTTTAGGAGCTAGATGTTTCATCTCATAGGTTTGTATAGACCCTATGAGTTCTTGAACTTTCAAGGTGTTCAAGTCACGAATCTCTTCAATAGCCATGATCTTTGGTTGAAACCGTTGAGGCAAGGATCTCAAAATCTTTTTCACAACCCTATCTTATGGAATTTTTTCACCCAAACTTGAACAAGCATTCACAATTACACAAAGTCTAGCATAAAATTCAGAAAAAATTTCATTCTCATCTGTCACGAGTGTCTCAAACTGTAAAGTGTGCATTTGAAGCTTGGCTCCCTTGACAGTATATGTTCCTTCATGAGTAACCTGCAAAATATCTCAAGCTTCCTTAGAAGTATCACAACCTGATATATATTCAAATTGATCGGAAGAGACAGTAGTAAATAAAGCATTTAACCCCTTTTGATTATTAGTGTTGTGTGTGACTTCTGCAGTGGTCCACTCCTCTCTAGTTTTGACAACAGTGGTTTCTTCATCTCCTTTTCCAATCTTCTTTGTGAGTTTAGGAAATCCATGAACCACTGTATTTCATACACGTTCATCTAAGGACCAAAGAAACGACTTCATTTTGGCCTTCCAGGCGCCATAGTTGTTGCCATCGAAATATGGTGGATGTACAATTGAGCCCGCGTCACGATCCATCCTACGGTATGTCAGATCTTGCTGAGTGTGTTCAGTAACCTGCTCAGATGCCAATTGAAATTACCTGTAGGATGACTAAAAATACCTAGAGGGGGGTGAATAGGCCAATTTAAGATTATAATAAATAAACAAAAAATAAACTTCGGTAGTAGGATTGATATGGCTTATCAATCCTGAAACCTGTTGGACATAAAATAAAAGAACATGCAGAGAATTATTTTACGTGGTAAAACCCCACTTATGGGGAAAATTCACGGGACTCCTCAGTCCAACATAAATCCACTATAGAACGATGATTACAAGAAGTACTCACACACTTATCCTAGACATATTTTAGATAATGTTTACCGACTTCTTAGTAACTCAACTTCTGTCATGAGATGATCTTCGATACTCCTTATGTTGAACGCATTACTGGTCACAATTGCTTCGAGCTCGCTGTTGCGTAGATACAGCTCCACCAAAATGGATTAAGCTGCATCCTCAACTTGTGATACTCGCAAGTGCACGAGCCGTTTGGTAGTATAGCATATGTAAGTGCGAGGTCGATCCCACGAGGATTGGTGATTGAATGATTCAATTCATTTTCCCTACACAAAACAGAAATGAAAAAGAAGGGAAATAAATAAAACAAGGAAGAAAGAAATAACTAACTCAAGTAGATAAGTTCCCAAGTTCAATTAGATTAACGGATTGATTCTAGCTAATGTATGATTAAGCCATGGTGTGTGGTCATAACCTTGTGTTCCTAATTCCCTAATTTGATCATTTGTTGTCTAACCTAAAATTAAGCATTAGGAACCCATTAAGCATAGAAGAACAATTTAAACAACCAAGCATGTATCTAATCCCTGTTGTCGAATGTCCATACATACTCTTCATATTCATAGTTCAATTCGAATTAAAGTATGGTGTCTACTCTTAATTCAAACCAAGATAGCTAACATGCAAACCTAAATGGTGATCAATCATTCAAACTAGCATATTAACTTATAAGCATAATGAATAAGAACATGAACCATAATTGAAACTTGGAAACTAATCAAACTTGAAAAAACTAAAGAAAAGAATTTACATAACAATGAAAATTAAAGTAGAACTTGGAAAAACTTAAGGA